ACACCAAAAACAGACTTCTCAGTTCTCCTTCGACTCCCGGTACCGAAAAATTTCCACCATTATTTTGTTCGACAGCATTTCATTTATCCGATCAAGCCCTCTCATTTTCATACCAACTTAACTAGAAATTTATGCAAAATTATTAGGAGAGATGATGAGAACATAGTATGACTTTGAATAGTGATCTAATTACATGCATAAACATAGTTTAGTAAAGCTTTAAACTTTCTGTGTACCCTCTCGAGTTATTATGGCTAATATCATTGAAACTTAGAATTCTGGAAGAACTCAAAAGTCTCCCGTCCATATCTCATGAGAAATAGGTAGTGATTTGATTCACTGAAACAATATCATTCCCGTTTGGGTGACGCTCAAAATGGTTGGGTACGCATGGACATGGGAGAAAATGTGAAGGAAATGATAACTTCGCCTTATCCAGTATAAGAGGATTCAGATCATGAAATTCCACAACCTTTTTCTTTTAATTGAGATTCATTTATACATTTTGAAAAATTTGGGACTCTAATTGCAATTATTATTATTATTATTATTATTATTATTATTATTATTATTATTATTATTATTATTATTATTATTTGATTCGTGCGGGTTATCGCTAACAATTAAAAAAGTTAAGACGATTGTGTAAGAATTAGACCTCTTGAGACAAAGTCCCAAAAATGAGTGCTTTATTGGTGAAAATTTACAATTGGAAATGAACAGAATACCTCCAAGTGGCACAAGCATACGAGTACTAAAAGAAGTGTTTAAAATTAAACTAAAAAATTAAAATTACATATTCTCTGTTGAGTGTGTTTGATTCGGGATCTTTTCTCTATGTCTTCTCTTCCTTTTTATACTTCCTTGATAATTTTTTCATGACAAACCGCTTGGNTTAGAGTGTTTGATTCGGGATCATTTCTCTACGTCTTCTCTTCTTTTTTATACTTCCTTGATAATTCCATGACAAACCGCTTGAAAACTACTTGATTGCTCTTATAACTACCCACTTTCTTCATGATGGCTTACTTGTCGTGGAACTGCCGTCTCTAACCGTTGCCATTACTCTTGTTGTTCAACCGTCTACAACTGAGATCCTTGAATCGTGAAGTATGATAAGATTGCTCAATAACTGCTTTAATAACAGTTGTTTTGGATAACCATAACATCTTATGTTTGCTAAGATCCTGAGCGATTCGAAGGTTTGTGCGAGAATAGGGTCATCTCTTTGGGTAAGGCACTCCATTTGCTTAGATTCTGGGCGTCTTACAAGATTGGGCGATGATGGTACTTTATTCGTGGGTCTCGACTGCATTCATCAATGGTCCTATTTAGGCATTTATCATAGACTTCCCAATTGGGCTTTATCCCTTGGACTATTCAATTTGGGCTACACTTTTTGTATGTCAACAATTGCCCCCCAATATGGTAGAATTAATACCAATTATTAATTTTTGTCATATTATTCATTTGTATTTTTTGGCAATATTTGAAATTCCCAAAAATTTCAATCATTATTTCCGTTTGGTTGTAACCTGTCCTATAATCTGAAAATGTGTAATCGTTTCACGCCCCTATAAACCCAAAAGACACTCCATTTCGTAATTAGTAATTCGACAGTAATCACTATTTTTTTTTTATTTTAATGACACAATCCGGTCGTATTCTGTTGTTTATTAGTGTATTGATGTAACTTTTTATATTCTGAAAAATAAGTTTAATATAAATCCTGCTACAAAAAAACTAAACCTGACTATATTTTCAGAAACTTTAATGTAGTATTTTATATCAAGGTTACAAACTTTGCATCGACAATAATTGCTATACTATTTCATACTCAAAATAAGTACAATTCGTGTTTGGATGTTCATAGGTGCATATTTCACACATTAATGCCAATACCATGTGCAACACATGGGCTTAAAAGTAGTTAGAATAGAAGAAGAAAGAATAAAGAAAGAGAAAAAAAATATTCAAATACCAAACTTGTTGCCTAAATCCACCCATATCAACCTTCTTTAAAAGGGAAAAAAATATTCAAATACCAAACGT